AGCACAAGAGTCCGGGGATTCTGACATTGCCCTTGAATTTGCTGACAGGCTTTGATTTGGGACTGCTGCTGTTCTTTTCAGACTGCTCCTGTGTGTGAATTGGTGCTAGGTTTGGGACTTGGGAGTGCCCTGCTGTGGCTGGTGTGAGTGATGGCACTGACCAGAGGAAGGTGGGGGATTCCTGTCTGCCAGGCCACATTGAAGTCTTCCTGCCTTTCAGAATCTATCCTGGGCCCCTCCTTTTCCATCACTAGTTTTACTTTCTCTCCATCCTGAGCAGCTATGTCTGTGGTACTGTTGAATTGTTTGCTTGTCAGGTCTGGGTCAAGTCTACTTGAGCTGCTGGAAGTCATAGAGCACGTGCCTTAAGCTCAAGAGAAAGCAGCTGGGTCTCTCTCTTTGTCTCTGTCTTTCTCATAGGTCTCTCATCTTTTTCTCCATCTCTTATCTCTCTTATATAGTCCTGGACCAGAAGATAAAGGCAAGCACATAGTCTTCTCCTACTTGAGTTGAAGTGTTTATAGACATGTTTCAAGGAAGAAACATGAAGAAGCATGAACCCTAAGGAGCCCTTGTACTTGGAGATATGTGTTGTAATATGAATCCAATCAGCAAGATACAAAGAAGCTACATTTTGAGAGGTTGAATTGTGAGGCTGTATTAGAAAGCCAATGACCGTAGTGGATTCTTATCCCAAAGACCTGCAGCCCTGAGAATACACTTAACACCATCAGAAAACTGAGCCATCAGAGCCAGAGAGAAAATAAAGGGCATAAAAACAATAAAACAATCCAGATCAGCTCCAATGGAGTGCTGAAGTGGGACACCAGAACGTTTTGGGTAGTTTAACAAAAGGAATAGGTTGGAAACTCATTTTAGGTACCACATCTGGAGTTTGTCTGTCCCTCTAACTAAGGCATTCCTAAACCATCAGCTGGCTTCTAGTATAGGATGTTTAAGACTAACTTTTAGGAAAATGGAGGAGAAAGAAAAGAAACAGGCCGGACTCAATCTTCCACAAGTGAGGACTGTTTATTGAAGAACAGTGAGGGGCAGCAACCTTCCTATGGGATCAGGGGTTGTGCAAGGAGGTGGGGTTGGAGTTGGGCTTTTATGGGATCCGAGCAAGGAGATAGAGGTTATCAACACGGTTGTTGGGGCTGGGTAGGTGGGGAGTTTCAGTTAGGCCCACAGGGGAATGTTTGAGGCCAGGCTTAGGTTGGATTGCCCTGCCTGCACATCGAGCATGTCTGCGCATACCTGTGGTTTAACCTGGAATCTGTATGCACCTGGGGTAATAGGGTGGGCGCCAATCCTTCAGAGTCCATCTTTAGATACATAAGAAGATTGGGCCAAGAGGGGAGAGGTAGGTAAGTCCTCTACTCACCACATGGGAAGAGGCTGGAGACAAACTCATCAAAGCTCTGCTGTGATAATAAAGGCTCATAGACCAAACAGGTCAAGGATTTCTTTCGAATTAGCTTTCAAAACATTTAGCTAATGTAAATGAAAACTCAAGGACTGGGATTGACTTTGCCTGAAGGCAAGGGTAGGGCTAATATCTCAATGCCATGTTGTTGGGGTCAGAGTGCCATCTGAGTGACTCCAGCAGAGACAGACTCCCTTAGAGCTCTGAGAGCTCTGGGAGCAGAGTCACTCAAAGGCCAGAGTAGGTCCTGGGATTATCTCTGAGCCTATGACTGTGGCTAGGGCAGCTGTATTCATTGGCTGGACCTGAGTCTTTTGATCACACCTGTTCATGTCTCTCAAGGAAGCTCCACCGAATCACATGCGATAGGTTCTCCACTGGACAGATTCTTTCTTCACAGAATTCTAAGCCAGATTCACAGCTTCCCTGGCTGATTGTCTCTGTCTGTGCTTCAGACTCACTTCTTACTTCTCTACCTACCACGTAGGGCTCCAAATAGATTCTCGGTAAAACCTTGTCCAATCAGAGGTAAAGGGACAAGTCAAGAAATTCTTGTTCAAAATAGGTAAGACTGAAAGTTGTGGAAGGTATCCATGGATTTGAATCAATCCTGGAGCTCATACCCCCAACCTTTCAGCCCGTTGATTTCACTTGGAAAAAGAAGAATAATGTAGAGCTCTTCTGCATCTAGGGCTCTGAGCTTTCCATCCATCCTTTCTCATAACCTTGGAGGTTGAAAACAAAGGGGGCTTTTAAGTCCTTTGGAAAGATGCCCCCGTCCTGGGGGCAGGGTTGTTGAATAGCTCCCAGAAAACAGTACCTGGGTAAGTTAAATGTAAATGAAGGCAAAGAAATTTCTTTTAAAGTTTTACCTTTGCTTTGAAATCTGTAGCTTTTGGAAATCAAAGAGAAATCAATGTTAGCACATTCGTCAAAGGAAGGTGCCTGAAACACAATTGGGGCAGAGGTCTGGATTCTTTTGCTTTCTTGCTTGGACAGAATGCCAGTTTACCTCTCTCCCTCCAGTTGTTCTGCCCAATGACAGTTCCTTGTTTCTGGAAGACTTTTGGTGAGATTAAAGTAGCATGCTCAGTTTTTGGTCCCCATATGGTCCCTCACTTCTTGCATGCAGCCTTGGTTCTCAGAAGAAAGCCTGTCTCGAGCAGCACGCATCAGACTTGGCTGGATGGGATGTGTGGAGCAGGTATCCTGCCTCTGCTGGGCTGGTGGTGTACAAAGTGCTCTCAGACAGCGCTTCTCAAATGTCAGCTGGGATTCAGATTCCATAGGGCTGGGCTGGGCCTAACAGTCAAGGCTGCCAGTCCAGGGGTCCCATTCAGCAGCAACAGATCATGCCACACTGATCCAGACATCCCAGCCTGTGGACTCTGACCTTTCTGCTACTCAGTACAGCATCTGAGTCCAGAATGAGCCCTCAAGCCATAGAGGCTTCTGTGACCCCCATAGCTCCCCCAGTTCCTAGGTGGCATCATGTGTTCTGTTCAGTGGGGACAGGGGGCACTGTGTTTGCCAGGACTTCTGACTGCATCCTCCAGGCAGAGGCATTGGTAGGCTGAGGGGTCTGTGCTCTTTGCCACTCTTGGTCAGATTGAAGTACGGAAACTGAATCTAACCAGTGCCATCTTGGCCACGTGGTGGAATTGGGTTTAACGGGCGCCATCTTGTCTTCATGGTAGAGGCAGGGAAGTTCCACCCCCAGGTGATGGGCATGCTTGAATTCCTAGAGGCAGGGGCAGGCACTTGGACAATAGGTTACTGGACCTGTCAGTCTTATGCTTTGAACTCGTGAGACTCTTGAGTTTCCTGTGACCCTGCCCCCTGACACTGACCATATTTAACCTCAGACCTGCTAGGTGCCATTATGCTATTCCTGTGTCTCGTGTCTCCTGGCTCCCCTCCGGTCACCATGGTGTCCTACGTCAGCTCTCCATTGGGGTTGATCTAGTTTGTTGGTATTGTTTTTCTGCTCTTTCTTTCCTCTCCTGCTCTCATGGCTCAGTTTTCTAACAGTGTTAAGTGTATTGGAGAGGCTGCAAGGTCTTTGTGGCAGGAATCCACCTTCAGTTGTGGGCTTTCCAATAAAGACTCCTGATTCGACCTCTGAAAATGTGGCTTTTCTGTTTCGTGTGTCTGATTTCTGGTACTACAAGATGAGAAGAACCTCAGTCTAGATGGAAGAGCCCTTCTGACAGCATCCTCCTTTTTCATCCCTTGTCCCTTCCCTTCTTCTGTACATACTTGTTCTGTGATCACACACACAGCCTGAGCTCACAGGAGTTAAGGGGAAATGATCATTTGTGTGGAGGGGAATCTAGGGAGAGCAGGCTTATCTCCCCCATGCTGGGCACCCTCAGGGGTCTGTTCACACACTCTGATGAATGCTGGGTTAGTCAGACTTTCATCGCTGTGACAAGATATCTGCCAGAAACAACTTAAAGGCGGGATTACTTGTTTTGTCTCACCATTTCAGTGGTTTGGATTCGGGGTCTTTGGATCCACTGATCCTGGACCCCTGTGTGCTGAGGGAGAACCTTATGGCAGCAGAAGCGTGTGGCAGAGCATTCGCCTTCTAGTAGACCCGAAGCAGAAGCCAAGAGGGGAGAGAAGGGGAGCCCAGGTTTAACATGGTCAAAGGCTCACTCTCAGCGAACTACTTCCTCCAGCTAGGACCCACTGCCAAAGTTCCACCACCTCCCAAAAGAGCAGCACAGCTGGGGAGTAAGTGTTTATAGCACACAGTTTGGAACATTTCATATTCAAACCATAATAGGTACTTCTGTTCCCATGGCAGAGACCCACTGGCATCCCTATCATGGGGATGTTTCATGTTGGTGAGCAGAAATCCTGAGGCAGGCCTGGAGCTCTTGACAGCCTTGGGTTTCTCTGTCTCTGCTCCAGGTCACCATAGCACTGAGGTTATCCTGAGGCTAGTGGGCCATGTTCTAACTGGGGACTGATTGTCACTCTCTCCTCCCTACCAAAGCACCTTCCTTTAACCTGGAGCAGCTGGAGCAGTTCTGGGAGTGCTGTGCTCTGGTTGGCTCCATCCAGCAGCTGGGAACCTGCACATTTCTGAGAGTGGGAGAAGATTCCCCCTTCAATTCGGTTAGGAGGATGAAAGGGAAAGCATCTGGGGTCAGAGGTTAATAGTGTCCCTATACTTCCTAAGTCCCACATTACTGGTTTTCCAGGTCTATGAGACATCTGTCTAATGCTCATCATAACTTCACAAGGAAGGTCTAGCTTTTCCCCCTATTTTCAGGTGAAGAATGAAGGCAAAGCCTGCTCAAGTGACTTTCCCAAAGTCAGGCAGCACAAATCAGAAAACAGAGAGTTGAGCCTTGGCACTGTTTGCACACACTCTTAACCACTGTGTAGTTCTGGCTCCCATGTGGCTCTTTGCAGCTTGGGTCTCTCACTTTTGAGCTGGAGATGGTGCTATGTTGGGAACCCTTGGCCCTCACCTTGGTTCCCACCTGAGACCTTGAACCGAGATGTAACAAGTAACAGAATGATGCAAACAAATTCAAAACCATCTTTCTGTCCCCAGATCCTAATAACTATTATCACCGACGCAATGAGATGACTACCACTGATGACCTGGATTTTAAACATCACAACTATAAGGAAATGCGCCAGGTAAGACCAGAGCATGTGGACTTGGATCAGGAGTTTGTCAAAGAACAGCAGAGCATGTGCCTATGCCTGTATACACTGTGTGTGTGTGTGTGTGTGTGTGTGTGTGTGTGTGTGTTAAAGAAATTAGGTTAGGAGATGGGTCCTAGTGACTCATACCTATAATCCTAGTAACTCAGGAGGCTTAGATCTGAGGATCATAGTTCAAATCCAGCCTGGGCAGGAAAACCTGTGAGACTCATTGCCAGTTAACCAGCAAAAAAAGCAAAAGCTGGAAGTGGAGATATGGCTCAAAGGGTAGAGTAAAATAGCCTTAGTGAAACAGGTAAGGATCAATGCCCAGGCCCTGAGTTCAAGCCACAGGACCAACAGAAAAGAAAAGAAAGAAAGAAAAGCAAGAAAGAAAGAAAGGAAGGAAGAAAGAAAGGAAGGAAGGAAAGAAGGAAGGAAAGAAGGAAGGAATTAGAATGGTATGGAGGAGACAAGAATGCAAGAATCTGAAGGTCATTGTGGTCAGATGAAGGTATACTGAAAACACTTGGCTGAAGGCTGAGGTATCTCTTTAAGTTTCTGGTGACCAGAGAAAGGGTCCCTTGCTAAAAAATGGGTACAGGATTTAGCCACAGAATTTTCACACTTAACCATACTCTAGTTCCTAAAACCACTGTGTTCAAGTAAGATCGTGGATTGAAGGCTGTTAGTCTTATGTGAGTCACAGGAGAGAACGGATGGGGTAACTCTTACCAATGGTAGTAAAAGAGCTTGCTTACAGGCCTGGCTGCTTTGTGCAGCTATTAACCTCCATTAATGCATTCAGTTCTCCTAAGAGAACTGGACCTGTTGTTTCTTACACATGAAAAAAAATGAATCACAAAGACATAATCTCACATAACCCCTTGATATTCAGATTCTTCAGTCTCAGCCTTGGTTGACACCTGGGAATGTTTCTTCAAACACAGATTCTTAAGCCCACTTCAGACCAAGTGAAGCAGAGTCTTGAGGAGAAGGGCTGAAGACTTCAGTTTCTAAAAGCTCTTTGTATGCCTCTGTGCAGCCTCACACCTTCTGGCTGATGCGTTTATAATCCTGAGTGTAGCTAGATGCTTTTATAATTCTGAATACAGCTAGATAACCAGTTGGTCTTTACCCAGATTGAAACCCAGACCTAATAATTCTGAGCTGTGGCAGCCTGTGCATGCTGACTACAGAAGGAGGCAGGGCCTCCCCCCTGTGGGAGCAAGTTACAAGGGCAGCCCCTAGGCTAAGTCCATTGCTTCGGAAATCCTGTCCCATTGTTCCCTTAGCAAATGGTGGGAAGAATGAGAAGCTGTGGGCAAATGAAAATGCCCTGGATATCCAAGAATCTGTAGAGCCAGCACAAATAGAAATATCTTCACAAATCATTATGGAACAAGGGTTTACCAAAGGCCATTGGTGAAGACTTGTCAGTACTGCAAGTGGCAGCCAGCAGTCCATGCAAACCCAGGAGAAGTTTCTGGGGTGAGAGCCGTCAGACTGAGCCCCATTCTGCAGAATGAGCATGCCTGGCTTGTCTCCATGTCATTTAACTTGAGATCCTCACTCGCAGCTTCTAGACACCTGTCAGCACAGACGTGGAGGTGGGATGTGCTAAAAAGCTCCTCTTGCTGTCTTGCTCTTCAGAAACCAAGATAATGTGCTTGGACTTGAGGTCTGTGACTCACGCCTGCTGCTCTGCTCTCTCAGGGTATTTATACAGCTCTGCCCACCACTCCATCTTAGGCAATGCTGATGGGGGAGAGCTAGCCGTGCTTGCTGGCTATCTCAGGACCTTGTGTTGAACCCAGAAATGAGACAGATAGCAACTCAGCTGATGTAATTAATGTCAAAAGGAATAAGCCCAAGTACACATAAAGAGAGCTAATGAAGAAGATCTGGGGGCTGAGGCCTTAGAAAGTTACTGCACGTGGCAAGCTGGGGTTCTAAGGAGAGCTGGCCAAGTTTACATCATACATGAGGCAGTTCTTTTTCTTTTTTTTGGTTGGTTGTGGGGCTTGAACTCTGGACTTGGGCGCTGTCCCTGCGCTCTTCAGCTCAAGGTGAGCACTCTACCACTTGAGTCACAGCGCCACTTCCGGTTTCTAGTGGTTTTATTGGAGATAAGAATCTCACGGACTTTCCTGCCCAGGCTGGCTTTGAAGCATGATCCTCAGATCTCAGCCTCCTGAGTAGCTAGTATTACAGGCTTGAGACACTGACGCCCGGCTTACATGAGGCCCTTCTAATAACTGTGGCTTGGTAATGGATGTCAGAGCCAAGAGAACCTGGGGTCACCCATGCAGCTAGCCCAGGGGAAACTGGACAGGTCCTCTGAAGGGGTCCCACTACTCTGCAGCACTCAGCTAGAAACTGCAAGGAAGTGTCTCTCAGCCTGATGAGTACTCATGGTAGAAGGGATTTGCTATTTGGATTTTTGGCTCTCGGGATGTGAAAGAAGGCAGCATTTATAGCTGTTTCCATATAGGGAGTCTGCTAGGTTAGGTAGAAATCTTTCTACCTTAGGAAAGAATAACTGGTTGGTTGATGCTACTATTGAAAGAGACATTATCATAACAACACCAAATAAGAACCAGCAGTAGGAAGCAAGAAGAAAAGGTGGAAAAGCTTGTTGTACTGTGAGAGAACAGTGGAAGCAGATGTGTCCAGGTGTGTGTCTGCTGGGAAAAGTGGGTCTGAGGGTCCATGTGCTTCTTTGTGTGAGCAGAGCTGGTTTCTTTTCAGCACAGGGGAAAGGAAGGTTGGCAAGAGCTGCATTTGGGGTCCCCAAGAGAAGGATTTCCTTGGCCTGAAAAGGGTGAGGGGAAGGACATTTCCAAGGCAGCTGGTTAGTCCTACGCCATGTGTTGGAGTGATTTGGGAAGAGAGAGGAGGCTGGCATGCCCCTGTGGTGCTTTTCAGGTTCAACTTAACTTTGATTTGGGACTAGATCCTAGATGCTCTGGAAGTTATAGTTTGGCTAATACCTGGGGCCCTGATGTAGGTAGACAGAAGTAAAGGAGCAAGGCAGGGATTGGAGGGCTGCTGGCTAGCGTGACTCATTTCCAGGCCAACTGGGACTAGCCAGCTATCTTGATGGCTCAGCAGCTGCTGAGCCTCCTATGTACCCCATGCGCAGCCCGCCCCTGGGGTGGATGATGGTGGCACGAAGTCAGGGCAGCTTAGTCGGCTGGTGAGTCCAGATGTGCAAAAGTCCTGACCCACAGGTAATGTCCTGCTGTGACTCCCTCCCTTTGATCCTCCCTTTCTTTCTCCCTTCCTCTGGAAATCCTTTACCATTGGACCAAGAGCAGTGTTTGTTTTCCAGGCAAATGAGGAAAGAGGATAGAAGAGAACTCTTGGTCTGCTGCCTTCTTTTCTTCTATTCTTCTAAAACATTTTCATTCACTGGACAAATGCTGTTGTGATGACATCAACTGCACTCCTGAAGGTCTAGAGGGAATTCCTCCTCCACTCTTCTTTGCAGTTCTATTTCCCATTCAGGTCTCAGTCTGCTTGTACTTCTGGCATCAGAATACCAGAGACTACGTAATAGATATACAATAGAAATTCATTCTCTTAATTTAGGAATCCAATGCCAAGGTAAAGGTGCCAGGAAATTTGGTATGTGGTGAGGGCTGCTTTCCAAGGTAATGCCTGCTTGCTTTCTGTGTCCTCACGTGGTGGAAGCGAAGAACAAAATGCCCTAGCAAGCTTCCTCAAACCTCTTCATAAGGACAATGTTCCATTTATAGGGACAAAGGCCTGGAAATTAATCACTTCCTGTTAGGCCCTACACCTGTGTGCTCCAATTGGGCATTAGGTTCTAACGTAAACTCGAGTGGGAGCAGGGATTCATATATTCAAACCCTTGCTAGTTTCTTATGTTCATAAACTCCATCTGAGTTTGATCAGAAGATAGTTACATCCTGGTCCCTCATCTCTCAGTTAACACTGGATCATCGACATTTTCCCTGCTGTCTTCATGATTATGTTCAGAATGTAGCAGCAAGGTTGATGAGTGGATGTGTCATAGTTTCTCAGCTTTCTTCCTGCTTAGAAGCACTTGGGCCTCTCCCAACTCTTAATGAATATGACAAACTAGGAAACATGCCACGTCAAGTGTCATCATGAGTGTCCTTTTACCATTCTACAGGAATAATTTCCTTCTGATATACTGCAGGAAACTGGAAAAAAAGAACTTCCTTATTCAACCTCCTCTGGTAGAAAAAGGAAGCAGGAGGTCTAGATTCCGCAGACATTAGGATGGCATCGTGTATTCCCTCCTTAGTGTTGAAGAAACAAGTCTTGCAAACCTTCTAATACAGTACATCTCAACTTATTTTCATATTACCATGCTAAGGAAGCTTTTGAGACTTTCTTCAATTCTTCTTCCCTTTATTTTATTCAATTTTAAAGAATAAGACTTTTCTGGTAGTGTTGGGCTTTGAAGAATCTGAAAACATTGTGAGATTTAAGATTTTTATACATGAAGGACCAATTTCCTTACCACCTTTTTTTTTTGTCGGTCGTGGGGCTTGAACTCTGAGCCTTGGCGTTGTCCCTGAGCTCTTCAGCCCAAGGCGAATGCTCTACCACTTGAGCCACAGTGCCACTTCTGGTTTTCTGGTGGTTACTTGGAGATAAGTGTCTCATGGACTTTCCTGCCCAGGCTGGCATTGAACTCGGCCTCCTGAGTAGCTAGGCATGAGCCACTGGTGCCCAGCTTCTTTACCACTCTTGAGAATCCATGCCCTAGGCTATGATGAAAACTCTGTGCCTTGTGCTCTCTCTCTCTCTCTTTCTCTCTCTCTGACACATACACACACACACACACACACACACACACACATACACACACACACACACATCAAGGTTCATACAGCCACCTAGATTCCAGAAAAGAATATTTGTTTCCTTTAAGGAGTAACCAGTCTTATTCTCTTACAAGAAGGAGCTATTTAAATGGAGGAATCTGTTTCTGGTAATGCTCATGATGGCTTTGGTGGAAGAGCAGGGTGAATCACCCCTGACACCTTTCATGCTTCCTAGCACTGCAGAGCGCCACTGTGCAGAGAGAATTGCAGTGGTGATGCCTAAAGATATTTCTTCAAATGCCCTTATTTCCATGAGGGAAAGATGTGTTTGATACCGTAAAACAATGACATGAAGTTCATCTACAAACCCCCACTGCATCAATGCAGAGAGAGTAGAGCTGGGGTAAAATTACTACTACAATGAAAGATGAGACTGAGAAGAAGATTTTGATAATTTGTGAACCAAGATTCTTCTTCTGTCTGTGGCCGAGTGTGAATCCAGTATCAAAGGTCATGGTCTCCAATACTGGCAGCACACTGCTTCTGCAGATAATTGCAAAGGGAAGGAAGCTAATAGTGGACAGCCAAGCCCATGCTGAAAGTTCACATTCATTGCCTGGTTAGTGATGAACCACCTGGCTCTTGTGTCTGCTGAACCTAGTGGTTGAATTGAACACCAGACAGTGGATCACCTGCCAATAAAAACCTGCTCACATGGATGCTGGTAGCTAAGAATGAGTGGGCACCAGCAGAGATTAGTATCTGGGGCCTCAAAACAAGTGTGGCACAGCAGGTGAAATGACCAGCACAAACGTTGTGGTCAGCATTGGATTACTGCACCTTCTGGGACATATAGAGAGTTAGAAGAGCCTTACGAATCTGAAGTCCTAGCTCCATCTAGACAAGATGTGACTTAGGGAAGATCACAATATCTCTTTGAGCCAAAGTCCCCATGTCCATAGAATGGGGCCAGCCTCTTCTCCCTTGTCTACTACACCTGCTAGTCATGACTGTGTGAGATTCAGCGGAGAGAGAATGCACTGCTACTTCTCATGAGAACATTACTAGTGAAACAGTGGCTGAATCTTACTCAATTGTGGCTCCAGTCACCCCTGTACCCCTGCAGTACTGATCCATTCTTTGAAGGACACGGAAGGCATAGTTCTTATTGTACACCATCTTGGATGTCTTGCAAACAACAGTCCTCAGTGGCCAGATTCGCTCACTTAAATATTATGGCTGCAAAACAAGTTATAAAATGAAGCACATTTTCCCCTAGGAGCCATGAGAGAATTAGACCTGTGTGCAGCCAATGGAGGCTGTGCTCCTTATAGGGAGTCATAAATGCCAAGCTCTAGTAGTGAGAAGTGTTTCCATCTTTCCACCCTTAAAGATATTCTTGAAACCCGCCCTTTCAGACAATCATAGAACCTCATGTTATAAGGGGTAATAACTGGGCTACCATAAATTCAGTCATAAATTCTTCAGACTACCAATTCTCCACTTCTAATAGATGGTAAGCTGCCATAAAATGTGCATCAGGTTTGCTTTCAGTTCATTTTATGGATAATTTGCTACCCGAAATGTTTTGGAAGGTTGTTGGGCTGCATTCATACCTGTGGTGTCTCTCTGGGGATGTGTCCTTCTCTGTTTTCATAATCTCCATTCAGGCAATTCTGGCTCATCTCTCAGAAGGGCAAAGCCTTCCTGACAGGCATCTCTTGCCCATGCCCTGGTTGAGATGCCCTTCCTCTCTCTGCTCCTGAAGCACCTGAGATCCCACTTCTATTAACCCATGGTCCTAAAATTACTGCACGAAGACTCCAGCCTCCACCATGAGTGTGGGCCTCCTCAGGTGCCCAGCAACGAGCAGGTCCTCAATAAACTTTGGACAGATGGGATTGTGAAACAAGTCTCACCTGGCAAATCGAAGGTTCTACAGCTGCCTCACAGGTACTTGTTCAGGAATGTGAGGTGAGACTGTCTCTGAGACTGTGTCTCATTGATATTCAGTATTTAATTGGGCAAATGATAGCCAAAGATATCTATTAGGAAAGCAGAACATCACAGTGAAAAAGTAATGACCCTACCCAGGGAGAGCACCAGAGAGTGACAACCACACCCAGGGAGGTGACAACCACAGGAAGGTGATAATCACACCCAGGGGTTTGACAGCCACACACTGGGAGGTGACAACCACATCCAGAGAGGTGATAACCTCACCTAAAGTAATGACAACCACTCCAGGAAGGGGACACCCACAACTGAAAAGGATATCTCAGTCTGCTGCAACTGTCAGAACAGTACTGTAAACTTGGTGATATATAACAGAAATTTCTTGTGTCTACAGTTTACAAGTCCAAGCTCAAGGTCCTGGAAGGCTTGGTATCTGGTGAGGCCTCAGTCTCTGAGGAAGGAGGCCAATAAGCTTTCTTGGGGCTCTTTTGTAAGGGTGCTAATCCTGTTCATGAGTCCCACTGTGACCTACTCACTGCAGATGCCTTCACCTCTTCATCCTATTATAGCAGTGATGAGGTTTTGGTCTGTAGGTCTTAAGGGAAACCAGTATGTAGACCCCAGCTGGGCTGCCGAGTACAGGGCTGGGGTGGATCCCAGGGCAGGCGCTGGCAGGAAAGGTGGGCATTATCCCAGAGAAAGGAGGTGTTCTAGTCAGAGGGGTCACAGCTGGGGTATGGGAAGGTTGCTCTCAGAGGCCTGTGGACGTGGCTGTCCTCTTGGGAGTCCTGCTGTTTCTCTATGAGGCCACCTTTGCTGAAATCTTCTAATTCCTCTTGTCTTTCAGTTGATGAAGGTTGTGAACGAAATGTGTCCCAATATCACCAGAATTTACAACATTGGAAAAAGCCACCAGGGCCTAAAGCTATATGCTGTGGAGATCTCTGACCACCCCGGGGAACATGAAGTTGGTGAGGAACCCCGCCCAGGATGGCGGTGGGTCCCCTTTCTAACAATTCTGGATGCTGGGCACTAGCAAATTAGGTGTCTAAGAGCTTGTTTTCATATAGCTCCTTCGGTGTGTCCTGAAAGGACCAGAGGCAATTGGCAGAAGGGCTAACTAGTTTCCTCAGGCACACACACACACACACACACACACACACACACACACACACACACACACACGTTTATAGTCACTCTCCAAAGACCCATTATTGAGTGGGCCTTGGTTCTAGCATATGAATTTGAGAAGGCCCTATATTAAACCATAGTATTGCTCTTAATAAGAATCCGAGCTTTGAGAGAGAAAATATTCAGATGGCTCCCTTTCCCAAATAATGTTATTTGTTGACTTGCCCTCCAGAACTACTTCCTGACCACATCAACTCATTTTTGGGTCCTTCTGAAACTTTACAGGAAGTTCTTTTAAGAAAAGCAATCACTTTTCAAAAGAGAAAAATGCTTGTTTTGGCTCCTATGGAACTTGTAACCTTTAAACCCTGAGCTCTGGTTTGTTTTGTCTACCCTTGCTAATAAGAAACAATGTCACTGTCCCATGGCTTGTCTCATCTAAGAGTTGTCTGTGCCTATTTGGGAATAAAGCAGTTTTCCTTCCTTCCTTCCTTCCTTCCTTCCTTCCTTCCTTCCTTCCTTCCTTCCTTCCTTCCTTCCTTCCTTCCTTCCTTCCTTCCT